CCGCAGAGCGCGGCTGCCCTGGACCCTTGGCCCTCGCCCACGCAGCCTCCATTCCTGGGCCGCCCAGGAATGACCCTGACGACTTGTGTTTACAACAGCCGGGTCGTGTCGCTGGAGGACAGGGGACGGGAGGGCCTTGCTGGGGAGCGATGTCGAGGAGAGGGCCGGTCTACGACCCCTGTCTAGGGCCGAGCCTCAGCGCCAGCCGGCCTTCCTGCCCAGCGGGGCAGCCTGCCTGCCATGGTCCCCATGTGGACAGGCTCCCAGCGCTGCCAGCTGGCCTCCTCTGCCACCCTCTCGTCTCGGCCCAGTGGGGCCTGGTTAGGGAAGAGCTGTGGGCTGGGAGTCTCCCCGGTGCCCTCTGGGGATTTCCTGAGTTGCTCTCTTGTAAATAACTCAGGTGAGTGTCCGCCTGTCACCTGAGCCCCTTCCAGGAGGCTTTTGCAGGTGGACCTGGGTGAGGAGCTCACAGGGCAGCGCCCAGGACAGGGGGAGGGCTGGCCCTAGGCCCAGCACCTGGGTATTCACACCCATGTTGGCACCGAGACTGCCTGTACCCCGGCCCCTCCACTTCCTGTCCCCTGGATCTGGCGTGGTGTGAGGAGGTCTGGGCTGGCGTGGTGTGCAGCAGGCAGGTCGGGACAGACCTGGGCCAGGGCTCCATTGTCTGGTGGCACTTGTGTGAGCGTGGCAAGTCCGAAGGCAGGGGCTGTGATAGCGCCCCTCTGTTTGCCTGCCTGCCTGCCTGCCTGCCTGCCTGTCTGTCTGTCTGCTTAGTGTCCAGGCCCAGTGAAGGGCTTCTGGCTTCTAAACCCTTGGACTGCTATAGAAAGACTTGGTCAAACAGGCTCTGAGGTCCAGGGGACCCCTTGCCGGACGGACTGCGGGGCAGAGAACTCCCACTGGCTCCCTGAGCACTGGACTTGTCCTTTGGAAAAGGCTAAGCCTCCCCTTGGCTCCTGGGAAACCAGGGCCCTCCTGCAGTTTGTGCCCCGGGAGAGACAACAATGTGGGTATAGGACAGTCTGGTGCCTCCAGCCCTTGAGTCTGAGGCCAGGGTCAAGCCCAAACAGCCATCAGGGTGGGGCCCCAGCTCAGGAGAGAGGTCCCTCTCGATCTGTCGTTCAAGCACAGGTTGATGTGTGTGTGTGTTGAGTCTGAGGCTGGAGACACGCGGACGGAGGCCTGGGCGCTGTGGCTTTGGGCCCCTGCAGACACTGAGACAGGAGGGTTGTAAGACCTTCACACAAGGCGGCTGGGTGGGAGCGGGGGAGGCCTGGTCGGCCAGGGGCCAGGCGTGGACAGTGCAGTCTGACAGTGCAGCGATCCCTGAGGCCAGGGACGCCCTTGTGGGGCTCCCAGCATTCACAAAGGACAGTGGGCCTCTTGGGCCAGTCTGGCATCACGATTCAATGAACCCACAGCCCAGGGGGCTCCTCCGAGGGCAGGGATCCTGGCAGGGGGATGAGCTTGACCATCACAAAGCATGTGGACTCGAGGTCACCAGCCCCCTTGACTGGGACGTGGCCCGGATTGGGAAAAGCATGTGAATTGGCGGTGTTGCGGTGTTGCTGCCTGAGCCCTGGGGAGTGGGCACCATGGGTATGCATTGGAGAGCGGGCCCCAGCTCTGTGCTCTGGATCTGCTGACTGACAGCTGTGACTGGGGGGGGGCAGAACAATGACCAGCTGGAGCTCTTTACCAGAGCCAGGTGGAGACTAGATCATTCAGAAAAGGAGTGAAGTCCCTACCCCACCCACTGAGCATCGGGGTCATGGGGCAGGGGAGCTCATGTCTAGTAGGAGACACCTCAGAACCGTCCAGCACACAGTTGTCACTGTCCCTGAGTCAGTGAGACCGAGGGTCTTACGCTATGCCTAAAGGGCTCTCCCAGCACCTGGAGGGCCTCTCCAGCCAATGCTGGCCCGTCCTGCCGGTGAATGACAGCTTTGTTGCACCTCCAAAAGCCCCAACCCAGGCCCTTTGCCACGGGTCCACCTCCTGGGGGCCCCACATGGGCCGCGTGGTGTTTGAGTCCGTGACCTTTCCAAAGCAGGCCTCCAGGCCTTTCTGTCCAGGTGCTCCTGGTGGGTTTGAATGACCAACTTTCTGGTTAGCAGTCGAGCACAGAGCACAGACTGTTCCCACCACCTGGGGACCAGGACCCAAACCCAGCCCACTGCCATAGAGTGGAGTGTGACCTGTGGGGCCCTGTAGGGCCTGGTAGGACTGCCTCATCTGGTTTCCAAGGCTGTCAGTCCTTATGGGGAGCCTCATCTTTCTCCCACAGAGTGGGTGGGGGGTTGGAACCTTCAAACTATGTTAGAAGCCCAGTGCTTAAACACTGAACCACCAGGACTGCTGACCCAGGGCAGGCCTCCTAGCTCCCTCCAAATCCAGCCCCTTCTGTTAGGTAGGACCACCATCACTCTGTCTAGAGCGGGATCCCTGCCCTTATGAAACCATGAACATCTAAGAAAGTCGAGGCCGTCTGCTCCAGTACAGAGTTACAATTCTAGGAAACCCACAGGGGCAGTTTCTACTCTGTCCCACGGGGCCGCTGTCAGAGGCGTCCACTTGATGGCCACGAGTTTGTTTTTCAAGTTGCCTGTTTCACATCCTCTTCGAAATCCATCGGTCTCTGAGTGTCCTGACTCCTTTCTGAGACCCCTGCCTGCTTCTTGCCCCTCCCTGGACAAGGCTGAGGCCTAGCTTTCCCCTACCCCAGGACCTTTGCACTGGCTACTGGCTCTGCCTGGGGTCTCCCCTAGCTCTGTCAAGGCTCCATCTGAGTCTGTTCCCCATTGGATGCCCCTTGCCCTGAGACACCCTCTGTTCCTGACCTGGAGTGGCCACCCCAATGTCACTCATGTGACCATGCTTATTTTCTGAGCAGCGTTTCCCCGACCCCGAAATCCCTGGGATGGTCTCTGTTCTGCAAGTGTTCAATGACCTGACTTAGTCTGGTGACAGCGGGCAGGCCAGAGGCAGCCATGGGGGGCTGTTCACACACTCGGCCACCTCTGTCTTGCTGATTGTCTGCCTGTGTGTCTGCTCCTGAGTGTTTGGGGGGTGGGGTGGGGGTATGTTCCATCTCCAAGCACCTGTGCTCAGAGGATGCAGGAGTGGACCACCAACCAGCTTAGCATCATCGTCTTGATATAGGGAGCTTGATCCAGGCGTTCCCACCCCTGCCCCTTGCGCCTGGCCTGGTGCCGGCTGCCGCAGCCTGGGAGGAACTGGGTCTGGTCAGCTCATGCCCTTTAGACCCTGGGAGTTACCCCCCAAAGGGGGCCCGTTCCTTCTGAAGTAAGAATGGGCCGTGGGCAGTGTGGGCTGAGCTCAGAAAAATGCCCTCTTTTTCATGTGGCA